AAAAATATATGGCAACAGCAGCACAAAGATAGGGATGGGAATTGGAGATTTGCCATTGTAAAGTTCTTACACAAATGTAAAACAGTCTAGTATTTATTCTGAAGCACACTCTGGAAAGTTAGAAATGTATATGCCCAAAGAAACACTAAATATATGAAAGCAATAGGTATATAAAATAATCTAAAAGCGAAGAGAACCAGTCATAAAGTTACTCAATCCAAAGCAATGCAAGAAATTAAAAAAAAAATGTATATCAGACAGGTCAAGCAAACAGAAAACAGATAAAGTGTGAAATAGAGTTAATCCAATCACACTAATACTGGTAATTACATTAAGTGTAAATTATTGAAATATCACAATTAAAAGGTCAAAGTATTAAATCAACAACAGACTGGGCGTGGTGGCACATGCCTTAAATCCCAGCATTCAGGAGGCTGAGGCAGGAGAATTGCTGTGAGTTCAAGACCAGTCTGAGCTACATAGTGAGTTCCAGGTCAGTCTCAACTACATAGTGAGACCCTGTCTCAAAAAAACAAAACAAAACAAAACAAAACAACACAACCACAAAAACAAAATTAAATCAACAACAAACATTTAAAACTACATTGCCTGAATGAAACATATAAAAAATATTTAAAAGAAAGATGGAATAAACAATAGTTTAAAAAAAATCTTTGCCACACAACTACCAAACGAAAGAAAATTATGATGGCTGCATTAATATAAAAAAGTAGACTTTGATACAGCAAGTATTTCTAGGGATGAAAGGATGTTTTATCGTAAGACTTTTTAAAGCGACATAATATCCTAAATATACATATACCTAGTATCACTGCTCCAAAATACGTGAATTAAAACCTTAGAGGACTGAAAGAAAGAACTAATAGTTCAACACTCAGAAACAGAAAACCCGAGCAATGAGAAACACTGACTTTCATGAAATATTCCACCTACCAATTCCAAAGTATGTAATATTTTCAAGTGGATAAGTTATAATAATTAGAAAAACTCGAAAAAGAGAGAAGAGTCAAATTCAAATTCAGCAAAAGGAGAAAACGTTTATTTCATAGAAGTTTTTTGAAAAATTGGCTGTGTTATTATCATACTATCGTAATGCTTATAAAGTACTATCCACAGTGGTGTCTACTCTTAGTTTTTTTTGTTTTTTGTTTTTTTTTGGTACAGGGGATTGAACTTGGGTCCTTGCGCTACCAAGGCAGGCCACTGAACCCCTGAGCTAAATCCTCAACCCTACTCTTAGTTTGATTCTGATTATTTCTTCTTTTTGTTGATCAATCTTTCTAGAAAAAGTCAACTTTATTATTTTTTTTTGCAAAGAACGAGGTTTAGATTTCTCTAAAGTATTTCTGTTTTCAGGGTGGTACGGAGGGAAGGGGAATGGGAAAAATCAAGAACCAAGAACCAAAATGCCACTGCTGAATGTGATCACATTGTTTACCTAAAATGTAACAATAAACTTAATAAATAAAAAGTATTTGTTTTTTATTTCAATGATGATCCAAACCCTTTTAGAAATTGTGAGGAGGAAATACTTTCCCAACCACTTCATAAGGGTAGCAGTGCACCAATGCTAACACAAGGAAAAACTACCTAAAAAATGGATCAATATTCCCGATGAACACAGATGCAAAAAATGAGAGCAAGCAAAATCCAACAGTTAAAAACAATAATTCCCATGACCAAATAGAAATTATGGAAGGACAGCAACAATGGATGAGCATTTGAAAATCAATTAATATTATTCACCACATTAACAACTTTAAAAAAACAACTTTTGTTGCATTAAAAGTAGCAGACAAGGGATGCAACAAAAATGCATATAAGTTCTTTATAAAAGCTCTTTGCAAACTAGGGATAAGAGGGAAAATCTGCAAACTAATAATAAAGGACAAACTAATAATAAACTAATAAAGGACATCTGTGGAGAAAGTACAAGTAATGACATTCTCATTTGGAAAAGACAGATTGCTTTCAAATTTACATAATAAATATGGTAAAGGTATTTCTATATCTCCTAATCAATATTTTACAGCAACAGGACAAGAAAACAAAGTGAAAATTACACAGCTCGGAAAAGAAATATACTATTTTTTCAGATTACATGATCAAGTAGAAAGTTTTAATGAAACTACCAAAAATTGAACTATGTGCTTGGAAAAGTTGCAGTACAGAATGGTAAAAATATATTTTTCCATTCTAGCAGCAAACAATTGAAAATTGAAATGGAACAAAGATTGGCATTTATGTTTGAGTCAGAAATATAAAACAATGATAGATTTAGTAATATATGTGTAAAGCATACCAGAAGCTATGAAGCATTATTGAGAAAAATTATAGAGGCTTAAATATATGCAAATTTATGCCAGCTTTATGCACTGGAAGATCCAATATTTTTATGATACCAATTTTTCTCACATTGATCTATACACTCAGTGTAATCCCAATCAACAGGATTTCTGGTAAAGAAACTGGGAAGCTGAATTTAAAATTTATATGGAAACGTAAAGTATGTAAAATAGCCAAGGTATATTGGAAATGAAGAATAAAGTCGGAAAGCTCAGAATATTCGATTTTTTTTTCCTTTCTAGAAAGCAATAGCAATCAAGATATTGTGATAAGGTACTGATGCCCCTCGATGAATGGATGGTAATGCACGTCTCAGACATATACTAAATAATGAAAAAACAAGAAATCCCAAAATGGGCCATGGACCTAATGTAAGAGCTAGAATTGTAAAATTTTTTGAAGAAAACACAGAACAGAAATCTTTGAAATTTGCTATTATGGTTTCTATGTAAAAGGCCCTCCAAAACGCCCAAACTTTGAAGGCCAGAGGGTCATCGGAGGCTGTCCTCGCTATCAGAGCCCTCCCCAAGGAGCAGAGCAGCCCAAAGAGCTGGGGGGACTTGTGGCCTGGGGGGGTCACTGAGGGCAGGGCCTGAGAGGGTGCTCTGGGCCCCAGCTCCTCTCTCTTCTCTCTCTCTCTCTCTCTCTCTCTCTCTCTCTCTCTCTGCTTCCTCGCTGTCCTGGGATGAGCAGTTTTTCCTGTGCCTGGCCCTTCCTCTAGCATTTCTGCCTTAGAGGCAGCCGACCTTGGACGAACCCACCGGAAACTGTGAACCAAATTAACGGCAAGCACCGCCTCCTTCAAGGTGCGGGTGTTGGATATTTTTTCCCAGTGACGTTAAAGTGACCAGTATACTTGGGCAAACAGGTATTTCTTAGATGGAAAATAAAGAATATAATCCATAAGAGAAAAATAAACAAGTGTTTATAAAAAAGTAGATGAAACTGCTAAGTGAAATGCAAGCTGTATTCTGAGAGACATAGAGCATTTAAAGGGCTCGAACATAGAATATTTGCAGAGCTATTGCAAATCCTTACTAAAAATAAGCAAAATAAAAATGGGCCAAGATTTGTAAATACTTCAGAAAAAGACTTGAATGGAAAATAAAAGATAATGATTTCTAACATCACTGGGCATTAAAAAAGTGCAAAAGGAATGAATATACTTCTAACAGAATGCTTAAAATTAAAAATGGTCACAACTTCAAGCAAAGATGTGGTGAGTTCTTGTGATAAGAAATAATAACATATCTACAAATGCTCGTGACCTGCGAATTAACGTTCATAGCAAAATTATTCATAATGGACTCATACTGGAAATGACTTAAACGTTTACCAAATTGTAAAGCAACAAGTAAGTTGTAGCATAACACACAATGGAATATGATTAAGCAACTAAAAGGAATGAACAATTGGTCTATGCAACAATGTGGATGGACTGCAAAAAATAGCACACTAAGTGAAAAAGCCAATCCATGCCCTCCTCCCCGAGGTGATAAGGCCAGCAGAACAGCAACATCACGGGATGATTCTGTCTCTGTGAATTTGTAGAAATGACAGAGCCACAGTGCAGAAGGGAAAGAGGTAGATGCAGGGTGGGTGCAGAGAAGCTGATCACAGAGAAGCACGGTGAATGGTTCTGTGACTATAGTCACTGCCGAAACTTGGCACTTTAAATGAGTGAATTTTATTTTATTCAGATAGTGTTGCACTAAGAGCTGATAAGAACCATGGACTCTTCACTTTCCCGAACTGGCTCCTCTTCCTTGAGAGCCCCTTTACTACTAGTTGGTATCAATCATCCATGACCTACTCTATTTCAAACAGGACACTGGGGTCACCCTTACGCCTCTGTTTCTTTTCTGACAAACCAATGCGTTCTTGTCATTTTAGGAGCCTTTCAACATAGCCACTATGGATGAGGTCCAGGAGGCTCCTGGCCTTTCTCAGGAGTGTTTTCCTAACACTCTTGTCAGATGTTACCCTCCCTGCTAATGTGAATGCTAACATGAGTCTGATCGTGCCCCCAGTTTCTACGCTTTATCCACAAGGAGGATATGGATGAGGTCCAGGAGGCTCCTGGCCTTTCTCAGGAGTGTTTTCCTAACACTCTTGTCAGATATCACCCTCCCTGCTAATGTGAATGCTAACGTGAGTCTGATCGTGCCAGTTTCTACGCTTTATCCACAAGGAGGGCTTTTCTAAACTAACAATGGTTAACAATATGATTTTCAGGATCCTTTCACTTATACCCTAAAATCTACAACCTAGTAAATTTGGAGACAATTCCTTTAGATTTTTGGGAAATTACTTTCATTTTTCATATCCTTATTCTCTGAAGTTGTATTTCATTGTGGCTATCTAAATGTAATAGGTGATTCCCAGTTTCATTACACAACATTTGGTTCTATTTTTCCTCTTCTATCTTTTAGTTTTCATGGATACAGAGGCACAAATGTGTACTTAATCTTTCTCCGAAGTAATACGGAAGAATGGACCAATGTCTACAGTACATTCTGATAATTCTGTATTGATTTGAGGTACGATGTTGGGTTTTGAAATGTTCGGTTGTAGAACTATACTGAAACAAAAATCTATACCAAATTATCAGATGAATAATGTGATTCACTCACCTTACAGCCAGTGACGATGCTGTGACCCCAGGTATTGGGTGCACATGAAGAGCACCTCTCTCCAATGGTGTTGGGGGGACAGATGCACTGACCCGTTTGGGGGTCACAGTTATTACCCAGATGAGAACAGTCACAGGCTTCACAGAGGAAAGAGGGAAAACAAAGAAAGGTTAAATATTTTTACATTTAATATATATGTTGAGCATTTTTATCACAGTGATTTGTGTTGTTTTTTCATACTCATATGTTAATGAATCACCAGAGGGGAAAATGCCTTAACTCATTCATCTTCATATCACAGTACAGTGCATTTCACAGAGCAGGTGTCCAGTTAATATATGTTGTAATTCATTTAATAATTTAAAGTTAAAGCAGGTTTCACTTTCCTATTAAGCTTGAGAGAGAACTGTTATTATCAGATTCTTTATTAACTTGAGTATCATATACCAGATACTATAAAGTTTTAAAATTTTATATCTATATTTAAGTTCATTAATATTTTTCTGTGGTATAAAGATTAAGTTTTTGTTCCTGATGATGACACTGATTGTTACTAAAAACCAATAGGCTTAAGAGTTTCCTTAAATTTAGTGCAACATGTATATTGTTATAAATGACACCCATTGGAATGTTGCTTGCAGATATTTAAAAACAGTTGAATTACAGATATTGTCTAGATATGAAGATGCTTTTAACTTCTTTTTTTTTTTTTTGTACCAGGGATCGAAATCGGGTCCTTGCGCTTGCGAGGCAGGCGCTGGAACCACTGAGCCAAATCCCCGGCCCACTTTTCACTTCTTTAATCACCAAATTTATTTTTCAATAGGTATTTCATTTCTTCACTTGTGGGAATGACACACAGAGAGTCAAAGTTCCCTACCTAATGTATTCTGTCAAAAATGCAAAATATCTTTTGAGAAGATCATGAAAGCCATCCTAACAAGAAGCACATACCACTTCTTATCTATAGTGGACTCAGCTACTGAGAGCACTGCAGTGCAGTTTTTAATTTCAGTGAAACGAAAGCGTGAGAAGAAACACCAAATACAGCACTTGAATTGAAATGTAAGACTAATTTTATGAGAACACTTTTAAGCAGTTATATGATGATTAGATCATTTTAACCAAATACAGTTAGGATCTCTGATTAAGTTCACTTTTTCAGAGCTCACAATTATCACTGCTTGAAGCTTTGCATACCAGCTGTGAAAAATGTTTAGCACAATACTTGACACAGAATAAATACTAAATGTCAGCTGTTACCATTTTTGTTGCTGCTAATTTTAAGCAAGTAGATTTATTTTACATGTACCATTCATTAAGAAGAAATATAGTCAGCATTATGTTTAAATTTATGTGCTAAAAATGTCTTAGGATAGTCTTAGTCATTATTTGCAAATAGAAATTCCCTAAGTAGATATTTAATGAAATCATAACACTGAACATCTAAGGAATTAGTTACTTTTCTCCTGCAAAATGCAATGTTTATGGCAGTTGATAATACTAGTAAAGATAATAATGATGATAAACATGCAGCATCAGTATGTTAGGCATTAGGCTAAGTATTTGTTAGCTATTAAGTCAACTGACTCTTACAACTCTATGGTGTTGATACAGCTATTATCCTGATGTGAGAGATAAATGTTTACAGGAGAAAGTGAGATCAACTCACACAGGCAATGTCATAAAACTAGGTACTAATGGACCCACTACATAAATCCAGGCTGTTTAGCACACGTCTTCTCTCAATCACCATGTTATCCTGCCTGATTTGTGCTTTTTTTCCATTGTTTCTCTAGCTAAGAAGCATATTAAGTTTGCATTTAGAAAATGTTACCATTATTTCATAATTTTAGATAATATTCTTGGTTAGTCGTTATACTTGAATATATAGTATATCAATTCATATTATGGAACAATGTTAGGAAGAGACTTAAAGAATAGAGTTTATTTTAAAACAACGCTTTATGACTTTTTAGTATATGAAGGTATTTGTTTAAAGATTATATACAGATTCATAGAATATCTACAATTATATTCAGAATAACTTACAATGGCTAGTTTGTGAAAAGAATCGGTCTAAAGAGCTGGAGAATGTCTGAAAGACACCAGTGCTTTAAATGATTTTAAATATTATTTCTATTGATTTTCACATAGATTTGCTATAGTCAATAATGATGTTTAAACATCTTACCATGATGCTGAGAGTATAGTACTGAAGTATCATTAAGATTCAATCGATGAGTTTAGTAAGCAAAGGTAAGACTCAACTGCATGGGTGTTGGGATAGGGTTAATTCTAAATTAGTGGCATTCGCATCAAAACTAATGCTCAGCTTTACTTGCATCTGTAGTGTGCTAACTGGTGTTTCCCTAGTCCGTTACTTTGTGAAGTCTCTGGCTAGACCTAGGACATACTTCAGGGACTCATGGTCACAAACAACAACCCACATTTCCCTATCAACTAAATATCCAGACCCACACTGTTCCTCTCCCCCAACATCACAGTTTTTAAGGCAGCGAGAGAGTAGATAGAAACATTTTTGTACTATAAAAAAAAAAATTTTCCTTGGTTACTAGAAAAAGTTTTAATAGCGTGGGAGTACAGTACAAACTAAGATAACAGCAAAAAAACCCAGAACATTTGGCTTTCAAGCTGCACAGTCATTGAGTAACTGGCCAAATAAAGGCCACAGATAGAGAGGGACTCGCCAGAACCAGAATCTGCAGATGGAGCCTTTGCAGCATACTTGCAGGCATAGTTGCTGTCAGGCAGTGTTTCAAATTGCGACGTGTCTTGCATCATATCTTTGCTGTCAATGTACATTTAACAAAATTAACTTTCATAGAAGCCAAGTCACCAAAGCCAAAGAATGCAGAAGACCCAGGACTCGGGTCTCATTCACACACCTGTGCAGCCTCCTTCTTGGAAGTTGAAGTAGCCCTGGGCACAACGGTCACACTTCTTCCCTGTGACTCCAGGCTGGCACCAACACTGTCCACTCTCTTCACAGTCGAATGATTTGGACCCAAAAGAGTTGCAGTGGCAGGGAACACAGCCCCTCGCTGATTGCAAGCCAAAGGTTTCAGGCTGGCACAGAACACGCAAGAGAAAAGTTAAATGTTGGTCTGCGAATTCCCAAAGAAACAAGATGTACAGGCCCAAGCAATCAGGCAGGGAAAGAGGAACCTTTGCACCAGCTTTCTTTACTTGTCATTGCACTATCATCTAACCAAGGGGCTGTTTCCTATGGTATCCACAGTGGAAAGTTTAACTCCTTCCCATCCAAATTAATAGAAGAACTAGGAGCATCTTCTCACCTATTTTCATCTGCCTTTCTCTGCCTGTCCCAAGATTCTCACAGCAATGTGAAATAAGCCATGAGTTGTATTTCTAGCTTTAATTTGAATTTTTACTCTCTTTATACCTAGTAATCAGAATTGATGACTTTCAGATCTTATAAACGACTTCAGCCTGATAAAAGTGCTTTCAGCACTATTGACCGGCAGTATAACATTGAAGTAATATTGTCCCCCTAGTATTTGATCTGCTTTTGTCCTTGATCCATGAATACTATTAGTCATCTTTATAGTATGCACGTTGTAAATATAATTTATAGATTATGCTTATGCTGACCAAATAATTGGCTTGACAAACATCTACTTTCTTGGGTTTCATTCTAATAAGTGGCATTGTTTTGTGAGAACACATATTAAAGCGCTCAACAAGAAAGGTTAAGGGAAATTTTCATCTTCTAATGAGTCACTCACGAGCACTAATCCTTCTGAGCACATCGTCCTCTGTGGTGAAGTTCGTGTTACTAGTTTGGCTGACCTATTAGCTGTGCAGGCTGCTGGCCTGCAGTGACTTTTAGAAAATGGAGACGGATGCAGCATTCTCTGTATTAGAAAAATAAAGAGATCTATCTATCTATCTCTATCTATCTATCTATCTATCTATCTATCTATCTATCTAGATCGTTCTTAAAGTACGTCACAGCTGTCTGTTTAAAGAGAAAGAAAGTCACATTATTATGATAAGTTAATCTGGGAAAATTAGTCCCAGGAATTACTTCTTTGAAAAATTAGACCTAACAATTACCTCTTGGGGAAAATAAATCTTGTCACTGAGTGTGAATCACCCAAAGAGCAGTGAATAAGCCCTGTTACGTATTTTTGCTGCTGCTCTTAGCAGTATTAAAAATAAATTTCAGAAATAAAAGTTAGACTTTTAAAATGACTAGTTAAGAATAGTTTTATTGTTTAAATGTAAAGTGGGTTGTTATTTTTTGATAATCATTTTAATTTTTACATTTACTGCTGGGTTTTATCTTTCTTTCTAGTTATAATTCAGATCTCATTATATTAAGGGAGAAAATTGGTAGTAGTTCTACATAAGTGACATGAGTTTGAAAGTAAATTCACCTACTCAATTCTGATTATTAGGTATAAAGTGAGTAAAAACTTAAATTAAAGCTAGAAATACCTATACACTAAAATGTATAATGTTTTTGCCCATAAAAAGAATTCAATGTAAAATTCTAGGTCAATGACCTGAAGAAATGATCAGATGCAGGAACTATGATTAGAACAAAAGCAGACCTATTATAAGATTATTTATCATAATGTGTGACTGTAGAGACAACTAAATGTTCACTTTTAGTGAAATAGCTAAATATATTATGATACATTCATGCTGTAAGATGCTAGACTAATGAAAATCTGCTTTGAAGCAGTTTTAAAGGTAGGAATATGACTAATATAACATTAAGTAAAATTTTTAAAAAGGAACTATATATGGAACTATATAGATGCTATGATTCCAATTACATGTCTACATTTACACAACACCACATGAAAACACTCCAACAGACCATGCACACACAGTAAAAGGCTAGGACATAACACATTAAAATAGTATTTGTTTTGTTTTGTGGAGATGGGGGACTGAATCTAAGACCTTTGCAGTACTACATTCCCAATCCCATGTACTTTTTTCTCCTGTTTGATACAGAGTCCTGCTAAATTGCTAAACTGTTCAAGCTGGACTTGAACTTGGTATCTTCCTGCCTCAGCCTCCCAGAGTGCAGGTATCGCTGGATCATACTATCAAGCCCAGCTAAAAACAGATTTTAAAAAAAAATCTTAATTATAGAAGTAATATTTGACATTTGTCTTTATTTCCCAATTTTTACCTATTAAGCTGAGTTATAAAGATTGTATTTTACATTCATCATTATTTTCTAAATTTCCCAATTTAGCAAATATATAAGTGTATCTAAATATCTGTGTGTATATATGCATGTATATACCCACATATCCACACAAAAGCATTTAATGGGTAAATCAATCAAACGTTAAGTGAATTTCTAAATCAGTTATCATTGAAAAATTCCCCAAGATGATAATGTAAGGAAATGTATAAGAAGAAATGTCTCTACCATACTTTTCAAATACATATATAATGTAATTTCGAAGGCAACTTACACCAAAGTAAAAAACGATCACACCTCACTAATAAAATGTTAATATGTATGGGATTCAAAAATCCATTTCAAAAAAGCTGAGGAAAATCTCCCTTAAGGAGCAAGCAATCCTAGCCAATGATTAAGAATAACAATGCAGCACAAATAGGAGAAAGAGCATTGGGCGGGTGCAGCCTGAAGTCAAGGTTGTATGGCTTCTGTAGCTTCTTCCTTACTGAGATCACAAGAAGACCAGGCACTCACATGTTATTTCCTATGTGCTCCCTTCCAAACCCACTTACAAAAACGGATTCATTTCCTTCTCAGAACCATTCCAGCAGATGGCTCCAGTCACTACTTTGCAGAGTGACAGAACTGAGGTGCAGAAAAGTCAAGTGAGCAGCCCGAAGTTGCCAGTTAAGCCACTGGAAATCAGGCAGAGCATGGCTTCAGAGTCTGTCATCTTCTCCCTGACATGCACCGTGTCCGAGGAACAAGAGTCTCAGAACAAAATCCCACTGTGAGGTTAGTCAGGAGGGGCATGAACAAGAGCTGTTTTTCATTTTGGAGATATCTGCATCAGGTAGCATCCCTATATTTTGTTTTAAATCGTTTCATTTGTTGTGGAAAAAAGAACTAATGTTAACTATTTTCCCATTTAATGACAGCAGTAATGATAATAGCGATGACACCTGGCATTTACTTTGACCAGTTCCTGTAGTTATCTCATGGACCACTCTCACTACCACCATGAAATAGCCTTGGAGGTGACTGGACCATCTCCCTGCTGCAGACTGCGGTGTGGGCTGCCCATGTCCCACAAACCCCAGCTCCCTTCTCTGGATCCACCAAAGAACTCTGCAAGGGACTCCCCACCCACCCCAATTTCATAGGCTGAAATTCTAATGTCCACGGTGATGGTATCAGGAAGTCGTAGCCTTAGAGTTATGATTAGGTCATAGAGCAGAACGCTCATGAAGCAGACTGGTGCTCTTATAAAGAAGCTACAAAGAGATTTCTCCACTATGTAGCTGAGAAGGTGGCCGTCCAGGGGAAGCCAGCCGTGGCCGGATGGGAGACTACCAGCATCTCTCTGCTGTTTACGAGCCACGCCATGGATTGATATTCTGACTGAGCATCCTGTGTCCAGGCTCACTCTACACTTCTCCCAGTCAGGGCCGATTACAGCGAAATCCTAGAATGTCAGGACTGCTCTAATGGGCAAAGTTTGCTTGGACACTTCCCATTGCTCTGGTCAAAAATGTGGGGGCTGTGATAGAATGCACCCAACGGGTCTATTCCTAACCAATCTTTCCTCCCTTTTTTTGTCCCTGGAGTTCGAACTGCATGGCAGTAGGAGGCTCCCAGCGTTCCCTGCTCTCTCCCCACTCATCAGCCACAGAATGTCTCTCCCAAATCTCTTGGCATTGGCCTCTCGGGGGATATAAGCAGACAAAAACTTTATGGAATTGGAAGAGTCAGGAAATTAGGGGCAGATTCAAGAACTACCACCCAGGAAGTAGTCACGCTGGGGTTCGATGTGGGCAGTCTGTTAACAGAACTGTCTTTTCTTCAAAGGTACAGTGACGTACCAAGGAGTACGATTATGACTTTATCCCCTTTAGTCTTTCCTTCTCACCACTACCCTGCACTCTCCCCAACCATGGATGGTGAATCCAGGGTGGCAAATCTTGCTGGTAAACTTGCATCACAGCCAGGGAAAGTGACTCTTCCTCCTGTTTTCCCTTCTATTCATGCATTTATTTGGTTTGCCTAATGAGATGGAGAGTAAATTTTTATAACTAAAAACAACTTTCCTTATTTTGCATATGCCCTGTGGTTAGAGCATGAGAAACTGTGGTGTGTGTGTGTGTGTGTGTGTGTGTGTGTGTGTGTGTGTTGGATGTATATGTGAGCAAAACTGTGACATGGAAGTGAAACTCCTTAATTATGATGAAATGTCACACAACTGCTGCACCCATGCTGGGGATATTCTTGGAGAAGTCACTCTCTTTGTTACACTTCTTTTCATTTGTTCAGACAAAGACCAAGTGTTCTCCAAATGATACTTCATGTCCCTTCAAATAAATGTTCACTTAATTTTTACCTATCCATGGAAATGGAAAGTTTTATGAATGTAAATACACTTTTAAAAGCATGAGGAGAGTTAGTTCTGCAAAAGGCAAGGCTGCAATCGGGAACTGAGCTTACATCTGTGGTTCGTGCTTAGCAACTGTTATTTATAAGGTGCCACCAGGAACTTCGGCTGCAACAAGCAGAACACAGCATGCCAGCCTGAGCATGCAGCGCCTCTGGGATTACCGAGGCTGGGGCCCGGTAGGCTCCCCGAGGGCACCCGCTGGGGGTGCTGGAACCCCACCTCCAGGGGGACCCCAGCACCCTTTGTGCTCTCCGCGGCTGCTCCTCCTGTCGGTGCACCTGCCTGGAGAGCTGGCATCGTTTCCCTACAAAGCCCGGTGCACAGACACATCTTCCTGTCGTGTCGCACTGCCGCGACACCGAGCCCCGGAGAACGCAGTCACATGGCACACAGAGTCGCTTCGCCGGGTCCCACCATGTATTGGGCTTTAAGCCCAACAAAGAGCAAAATGAAAAGAAAACAAAAGAAGAGCACATGGTGTTATTCAAGAGACAGAAGCAGATGATATTTTCAGATTTCCTGTAGAAAGGCCAGTTGGACATCTGAGATTTGCTTGCTCCTTCTTATGCCTCTTTATCACCAATAAAATGTATCTATGTGAAAGATCTCCCCAAATCCACCCGTTCTCTGGAAGAAATCTCATCGTCCTGGTCCTAAGAGGGCAGGGCAGTCAGTACATTCAGGGGCTGAGAAGAACATTGTCTAACGGAACATTTCATTTTAGCAAATGCTATACCTAAAAAGGTATTGATTAGCCTCTCTGCAGTAAACTTTTGCTAATAGAGCACTCACTGGAAGGAACTTTTAATGGAGAAAATAGAAAATGATGTTTGCTAAGAGCAAAGGGACTGATATGTTTTATTCGGCCCAAAATATAAAGGTGAAGAATATTTTACTCTCCAGTGACTGGGATTAAATTTGTAAGTTATTTTTGACTCACATCTGAATTACAGGAAACACTATACAAATTCTCTGCCAAAGAAATGTAGGTTTCAAGCCAACTGTAATTGTAAGAATACTGAGACACGTTTCACTTACCACAGCCATTTTTTCTATAGAATTAGATAACTGCAAACCCTTTTTTTAGTGGCCGTTGAAAGCCAAGGATTTGGGAGCAGGCAATGCACTGGCCAGCTCTTCCTTACCTTGCACCGATCACACCGCCGGCCCTGCACGTTGGGTCTGCATTCACACTGTCCGGTACCACTGTGGCAGATCTCAGAGGTGGAACCATTGGTGTCACAATGACAAGCTGCAAGAGAAGGGAGACATAGCTGTGGCTGGAAGGAAATTTCTCACACAGACTTAGTATCCCTTATCCGAAATGTCTGGGACTGGAAATGTCGAGTGGGGAATATTTAATGGGCTTTTCTGGTTGAGTATCTTTGATCTAAAAATCCAAAATTACAAATGCTCTTGGTTTCAATGGGTTTGTTGAATCAAAATACTGCCCAGATGGTACCTCTGATACCTAAATTCAGAAATAGGATATTTTCTGCCTTGTCAAGCACTCTCTGGGGCAGTCTATCATACAACAGCTCTACACTGTGGAGGTCATGGCACATAATCTGCTATTAAAATATCAAGATGTGGAAATTCAAAGAAGCCATGATGTGCACAAGGCCATGTGCTTGGTGGGTGACAGGGCTGAGCTGAGGCACCAGCCTAGAACGTGGAGTTCCTGGACTCCAGTTACACGACACGTGGGGTAACATTTAAAATATTACAGTACCATTGTAATGAATGCATTATGACTCCAAGGGCAAAAATAATGTTGACAGATTATCAAAATCAATAGCACTCAGGCCATAATATTAATGTCATTATCAATCAAGCAACATTTTATTAGTTCTTTTTTCAATATAATGATCATCCACTAATTATGCGCTAGTTGGTGTGTTAAGTTTCAGAAATAAGCTTGAGGTGAAATAAACACAAATCCCTTTAAGATTAGAAAAGTATGTAAAATAACAAGAATGTTGCTTTAGACCCCTTTGGAACATAGCATTATAATTTTGGAAAAAATCCCTTTTATCTTACAATTTATATACCGTCTTCAAAGATGGAAAATATACTTGGTTTAAGTATTTTTCTGTCATTTTTGTGTTATAAAGTTGTCCGATGTTATTCTGAAACATATAATAAACCAGTCTAAAACCTAAGTAGTCTCTTCATAAATAGAACAGTAATTAATGGCTTTCTCTGTGTTTTACAAGTGCATTTTAAATGGTACATATAATTGCATCGATACCAGAATAAAATCATGAAGAGGAGATGACATGGGAATTTAGACTGTTCAAAGGCAGATTTGGTAAATGTTGTACATTATCTCTGACTACTTTGAGCAAAATGCATGAACTCATTATATATAGCTGCTCTGTTAGTGCATGCTATTAGTCTGTTCACCTGGCTTCAAGTTCTCCTTCTCTTTAAGGCTTATCTGAAAATTGCTTGATTTTCTGCTAGTGAAGTTTGGCCTTCCATAGCTGCTAACTTGATACTAGCACAGTGGACACCAAGAAAGTGACCAACCAGAAGCTGGTCATTTTCATCAAACAATAGCACAAGGAGAGTCTATCGTAGAAATGGAAATGAAGGCTGCAATATTATTTTCTTTAGTATCCACTTTTATTTGGATACTAGAATTGCTGCTCCTACTATTAGTTTTTTAATGGAAATTTCTTCTGTGCATTACACACACATATTTAAAATCTCAAATTACTTAGAATCCAGATGTCCTTTTTTCACTACATACTTAAATTTCCATAAATATAATGGCGGTTAATTAATGTTTGCTATAAGTAACAAAAGCAATATAGAATTTTATGAAAGTGGCATTTTTAGCAGCAAACTATGATGTGACATTATACATACATTCGAAAAGCAAAATATATTTTGTGTAGGAACTTTTCACGAGCAAATCTAGATTCTTAAAGAATTTCTTTTCTTGAGGTTTGTCACTATGTGTGGGACCACTATTGTGCCCATGACAAATTATAAAAATAGATTGCAGATGATGAAAGTAGATGACACATTATATTTTAATCATAATTACATGCCAAAGAGCATTGAAATCATAACCACAGGTATACCACATGGCAAGCAGTATGGAGAGTGGCAATGGCTCATCATGTTTTGCACGTTCTAAGACTCCGAGCCAGAGATAACTAGTCCACAACTAAAATGAATGGAACAATGTCTTCAACTTTATAGAGGGAATTATTGGAAGACAGAAGAAGAGGCCACTAAATGGTAAATCTTGACCCAGAGTGAGTGAGCCACTGACTTACAACTGCTACACGCATGACTTACTACCAGAGGAAGACCACACTCGACTTGTGCAGGGCCCAGGAGCTCACTGGATACCTTCTCTGTGCCACGTGCTTTAATCTCCCACAGCAAATTTATGGCCCTTATTATAGATGAGGAAACCGAGTCTGATCGAGCTCCAAGTATTCATTGGGGTGACCTAGCAGCAGAGTACAGACCCTGGAGGATCTGCTTGAACAGCAGAATGTCTTAAATTCCCTACACTATTACATAAAAGCCAAAGATTGATGGTGTTTAAATCACTCTGAGCCTGGTGGAAATTTTGCTTTAAAAAAAAAAAATCAGTTCACAAGTGATACGTATGAATAGATGTCAGTTGTTTCTAAGAGTGATTTCTTTCTGATTATCATTTTATATATTTTACCATTAACACATTATCATTTTTATAGGAAAAAAAAATCTAACACTCATCTCAGCCCTTGAGGAAAGGAATGTGTGTCTTTGTGAAATGCAGTGCCTAGTGGGTCTCTGCTGTTTAAAGCCGAGGTAACAGACTGTGCTGTCCGTGGTTTCCACAGGTCTGCAGGTCTGGGCGATGAGCTGACTGGAGCATCTCTTCTTACACCATAAGCTGAGCAGAGATGTGCAGTCAGGCAGCGCCTATGTCCCACATGCCCTAAAGGGTAAGGAGCACATGAAGCCAGCAATGGCCACGTCCCAGGTACTCATGTGGGTTTGTATTCTACTTGACTTTCCACCACCAGGTCTCCTTTGCATATTCTATTACTACTATTTGAAAGCATTTGTTAATGCTGTGCATCACTGAATAAGACAGCTAAGGAGAAAAGATGAGGGGAGGGAGATACTGCACTGGAATAGAGGAAGAGTTAGAGTAACTAATTTCATGGAAAGAAGACACAGAAACACCACTGGATGAATACTCCCAAACTGAAAATTAATCGCTCAACAATTACTACACCAGCGAGGGATAATACTGGCAGAGTTGTACACCTATTGTGAAATACAAGACTGTAAAGTTCACATATAAAAGAATAACCTATTACTGTCTACTGAAATGTACTACTGAAATAATGTGGGACGATACATTTACTTCAAACAAATGATTAGAATTGAAATAAAAAGGCTAAAATGCTTACCTAATTTATAAATTCTTCTTTCCTGCTGTGGACATAAACCTATTTTAAACTTTTCTTTCCACATGTGAACAGAAATATTGGCATCTTTTGCAAAACACCACTTTGGCAAGGCAGCAACTTGCGAATGGCTTCACTGTATTAGTAGAGTCATATTTTGGGACATGCAGACTCTGCCTGTGCCGTGCGTCTATCACCCATATATTACAAACAATCTCCTCGTCTCCAATCCTGCTCAAGAGCTCATCAGCTACTTTGAGGTATAATTTATCAATTCTGTCAGGGACACCACTAGTTCAGGACTTACGCTGACAGTTCTTTGCACCAACTGCGTCTCCGAAATAGCCATCCGCACAGAGCTCGCAGTACTGGCCTGTTGTACCTGGCTTGCATATCAGACAGGAGCCAGACAGGCTGTTACAGCTGCCAGGGATGGAGAAGTCAAGGTTGTCATTGCATTGACAGGGCTGACATGATCCTCCAGGTACAGAAGGGTGTCCAAAGTAGCCTTCTGCACACCTACGGTGAGAAATTTCATCAGTGAGCATTTCAGGGGAAACCCATGAAATCCATTCAAGGCAATGTTTATATATTTTTCATACTACTTGTCTTTCAGGATGATGGCTTTTCCTTTTAAGTGTTCCTTGTCTCAAGGTGCAAGTTGATTAAAAATGTTTTTCTATGCAGCAGGGTAGATGCAAGATGAAATCCTGCCAGCTCCACTAGTAATTAGATAGCAGCCAGACATCTCCCCCCAAAAACCTTGTCACTGGTACTGAAGATGAGACCAAAGCATAATAAGAAATCTGTTGCTGGCATTCTGAAGAAATCCAGGTGGATGTTACAAAACCTTTGTAGTAAAACACATCATATGTCTCTACCCCAATTGGTTGTTTTCTGTACGAATATGCAAGGTTCACATTTTTTATTGTTTTTTGCAGCAAGAGCTTGTTAGGAAGAAATAGGCTCACAAGGAAATTCAGTGGTAAGAGTTCAGAATTAAATGGAAATTGTGATTCAAGATTGTTACTGTTATTTGTTTGGGGGCTGTGGGTATCTCTGAATTAATATTAGGTTTGCATGCATTTGTGTATCAATCCAATAGCAGATATTCAATGTGGAATCTTTATTAACAGGAAGTCTAAATAGTTGTGCCTGCCTAGTATAATACAATGCCATAAGGTACTTCTAAATTGTGTTCCCAATCCGTATTAGCAAACAACAGGTCTCTTTTTTAATCAACAAAAACTATTTTACATGTTGTATTATTTATAAGGCATGGCACAGATTTTTAAAAATTATAGCATCAAATTTTCTTTGATCTAAATGTTGCTTTAAAATGTTCTTGGGCTGGTGATTTAGCTCAGTGATTTCACCACTTGCCTTGAAAGTGTGAGGTCCCAAGTTTGATCCCTGGTACCAAAAAAAAAAACTTTCTTAAGATTACAGATTCACAGGTACATCCTTATCAGTAGCGCTTTTCTACATTCTGTTCTGTCATTTCTTTCAGTTACATTTCCACATGCTTCATATTAAGCCACATGCGCAGAAGAAAATAAAAAAACAGGGCATCTAAAGTCTATGGTCAATCTGGCTCCACGCCATTTTATCAAAACAAACTCTTAGAGCAAAGATCAAAATTGAAAGGAAACAAAAATAATGCAGGAGAATCTAATTACCTCTAGAATTCACTATCTTTAGAATAATCTGCTCATGGATAGGGAAGACACGTTTTAGACAAAAGCTCTCTACCTCTTGGAGTAGAAATGGTTTAAATCCAGGACGCCATATTGAGGATACATTAATAACAGTACAATTAAAGTATAAAGCCAGTAATTTAGTAAGATACATGCTTTAGTATGTTTTCCAGAAAATTTATGTCCTAATAATCTAAAAGATTTAATGTATCATAATCTTTAAATGAGATTAATAGTTTTAATTATATTCACAAAGAGGTTTGCAAAATTATGAACATTGTATAAACATAGCTCAAAAGGATATTGCTTCCCACAAATATAATTATGGATCAGTTCTGTTATGAAATACAAAAGAACGATTTAGAGCATAAAATCTCACAACCTCTTCAGGAATATAATGTAGTAAAACAATAAGAAGTTCCTTGTGAATCCTAACCTCATTTGATATTCAAAGCTTACAATTACATCCATATATAGTCACATCCGATTTTGTTTGTCTCTAAGACAGTGACTTCACTTCTTTTGGAATAAGGATGTACAGACATTGTTATCACAGTCAACCAAGCACCTATTATTTCCTGTTCCTTTTTTTCAAAATGACTTAGTGCCCTCAGGAGAGAGGGCCTTAAATAACAAGATCTGGGAGTTTTTCTTAACACAGATTCCAATTAATAGTCCAAAATTCCCCTATCAATAATAACAAAAAGTCAGTCCATAGAGAAAATACTGTAATTTAGTGAAATAACAAAGAAGTGTCTTTTATTTTTGTTACAGGACATGTAATGAACATGCGTGGATAGACATGATAGAGAATTCATACGGCACCTCATTAACATGGGACCAGTTTCTGTGGGTCAGTGTGCTCCACAAGGGTGTGAGTGTGTGCATTCTCCTGGGTAGAACAGCATTCACAGAGGCTTAAAAATGTCTCATTGGGATTTAACAGTAATTTCAGGGTCAGGAAAGGTTATACAGCTAATCATGCAATTTTATTAATAATAATAGCATCATATAGTCTGTCCAATTTAGATGCATCTAATTAAAATTAGTTAAAATTACAGCCCTTTGGACCTTTCTGGCTTTTTAGATTTTTCTATCAGAACTAATTGCAATATGAGATCTTGAGCCCTCTCACTCATGTTCAGTTGTAAAACATATTTTGTTAAATTCATATAAACATTGTTTGTTGAATTCCTTGTTAAAGGTAGCCATCTTCACATAAAACGTCACTGTTCCCTTTTCACATTTCTTAACTTTTTCAAACCAATTTGCAATATTTTAAAAAGAGACTCTTTAAAATGTAAAGAGACTCCGGATAACATGCATTAGTTATGCAACATAGTTTCTGTTATTGGTAATTTAGGAATGACAAGAAAGGGAGGGTGGGAGGGAGGGAGAGAGAGAGAGAAATGAATGCCAGATGTGGAGAGAAAATGAGAAAAAGAAAGCAACAAAACTAATCTTTAATCTCATTCTGTTCAAAAATTTTTTCAGAAAAATTCGTGGCTTACATTTCCATTTTCTTTTTCTTTCACCTTTGTGTTTTAACCAAAAAAGAAAATCCACTGAGCACTTCTAGTATAACACTGCTATAAATAAGGCACAGTCTTTATCCTATAGTCTGCAGATAAGAGATATGAGTTAAAAATGCAACCATTGTTCCTCAGACAGAAGGCTAATATCCAAAATGGATACAGAACTCAAAAAAATTAGACCCTCCCCCAAATAAAAGATCCAGTCAAAAACAGACAGTGAAACAAACAGACACATCACAGGAGTACAAATGGCCAATAAATGCATGAAGAGATGGTCAACGTCACTGGCCATTAAAGAAATGCACATTAAAACAACACCGAAATTTCATCTTAGCTCTGGAAGACTGGCCACTATCAAGAAATCAAATAACAACAAATGCTGATGAGCCTGTGGAGACAGAGAAGTCCTGCTACATTGTTGGGAGGAATGTGAGCTAGTACAACCGTTACAGAAATCAGTGTGTGGATTCCTCAGGAAACTAAAATGAAAAATTCCATTAGACCCTTTTAGGTCCCTGAAAGAGTTAGGCATCATATTATAGTGCTGTGTGCACACCCGTGTTTATAGCAGCATGATTCACAATGGCTTAGTCTTGGAAGCAGCATGTATGTCCATCAACAGATGAACGGGTAAGGAAAATGTGGTACGACTTTGCCGTAAAGAAGATGCACCTTGAGACCGTAAAGTTAAGTGAAATATATCAGACACGGAGGCTTCAGTATTGCATGGTTTCTCTTATATGAGAAACCAAGGTATGAAGAGCAAAGTAAAAGATATATAAAGGGAAGTAGGGAGCTAGCTCTTTGTTAAATGAGGTGATCAAGAGACGGAAGGAGGGGGAGGAAGCAGAGGGAAAGTAATGAAAAAAAGGAATGAAGATTTATCATGTGTAAGTTCCAACTCCACACAAGGAAGGTAAGCACTACGCACTGCAGACGTGGACTGAAACAAGGAAAGCAACAGCAGAACAGGGGAGACGCTCCAGTGCTATTACGGGCACAAAAGAAAGACCTGCACTCGGCAGCTCTGTCATCACGGGCCTTCTTAGGGTGACAGAGCCTAAATTTAGGAGCTGAACAGGGTGAGCCTCAGCAGAAGAGCTGCAGCACCGCTGTCCTCCAGGCAGAGGGAACAGCACTGGGACAAGGCCCAGAGAAGGTGGCCGGAGCACACAGCTCCACGGCTGCTGGTGTCACACCCCGCCCCCGTTTGCCTTAATCAGCTCAAGACAGATCATCGGCCTCCTTCTATGGTGTCTATATGCAAACTAGAAAAAGACATAGAGACTGTGGACCCCGCGGGCACCTGGCACAGCGCCATGGAGCATGGGCGCGAAGCTCTTCTCGGATTCAAGCCCCCAGGCGCTGCTTTTCCCCAGGGCCTCTGTGCAGTGTGCAGACAGCAAAGGCAACACCTCTTGGAACCTCAGCCAGCGTCAGGATTCTGCTGACGGCGCTGCCAGGGCGGAAGCAGCGTCCCCCTTCTGTGATTTCCATCAACCCTGGCTCTGCACCGGGGCCCCAGGGTGATGGAGGCGCCAATACCATGGCAACTGTAATGGGAAGCACTGTTATCCAAGGGTGGTCGGGTTTGAGCCACACCGAGGTGTTCCGGATGCAGAAGTAGCTGAAGAGGATTTTCGAATTGAAAAAGAAAAAGCAAGCTCCTCAATGTCAAATAGGAATCATGTGAATAAAATTATATGTGGATTTTCAGAATTTCAGGCAACTAGGCCAAATGTCTTCTGAATTCTCAGTAGAAGATGTGGGAGTGATGGTGATGGTTCCTCTCTTTCCTTCTTAGGGAGGAGCTGTTGCAAATTTACCAGTGGGAACTGGAGTAGTGCTGCAAGCCTGCAGTGCCAGCACTGGGAGGCTGAGGCCGAGGGTTACAAAGTCAAGCCCTGTCTGGTCAATTTACAGATACTTAGTGAGATCCTGCCTGAAAAATAAAACATTAAAAGAAGTAGGCACTGCATTACTTGGGGCGGGTGGGGAGAGAGAGAGAGAGAGAGGGAGAGAGAGAGAGAGAGAGAGAGAGAGAGGAGGAGGAGAGGAAGAAGGAAGAAGGAGGAGGAGGGAGAGAAAATCATACCTGCCAATTCTTTTTCATTTTTGCTGAAAAGTTTGAGATGGAGAGGAGATAGCCATTTGCTACCCTGCACGTCTATCTTTCCATCTTCTTTTGAATTGCATTAACACAGATTTTAGACAGGAAATCATGCTTTCTGTCAGGTATTTCTTTCCTTGGTGATTTTTTTATCGCTCAATTAGAATTCTCTCCAGAAGAGGTGACCAATCTCACCGGTAATACCGGGAGAGGTGAGCCGCTGGAGTGGAGGATGGCACAATTCGTCTGTTTATCTACCATCTTCAGCCCTGTCCACGGTGGCTTTTAAGCAAGTATTTGTTAAATAAGACACAGCTTTTGAATCATAGACGGTCTGGAAACTATTATGTAATATGTACACGAAGGAAAGCAATAGAAACACATCAGAGCTTATGCACACCTAGCTAAGTGGATTTACTGGTCCTGCATGAGAGAGCAGCTGTCAGTTTTCAGTTGCTAAAAAGAAGTTGCCTATAGAGAGCTTGAGGAGGAGTGGTGTAGACACTTGACATAAATCTGTCTTGGGAATGATATGCTCTGCTATGATAATAAGATTCTAATAGGTAATGTACACACGCTTCCCTTTAGAAAAACACAGTGAAAGGCTTCCAGTTTCTCAATTACAAATAAATCCTTCTAATTTCATTTCTTTTCCTCCATTGCTAACTCACAGATGCTACGATATTCACAAATGGTACTTCCTGCTTGGTAGAAACTGTCATGGGCACTTTGTCGGCTGAGTGCTAGTAGCTAGCTAAATTCTCTCTGGGTGATTGGCCTCTGCCTCATTAACTTCAGGCGCCCTGATTGAAACAGGCATAATGTTTCTTTTGTTAGATTGATTCCTAGATACTTCATTTTTTTGGATGCTATTGTAAAAGGAATTTTTTCCCTTATTTCTCTTTCTGTCTGTCTGTTATTTGTGTATAGAAAGGCTATTGATTTTTGGGTATTCACCTTGTATCCAGATACTTTACTGAATCTGTCAATTAAGTCTAGAAGTTTTTTGGTGGAGTTTTTTGGATCTTCAATGTAGAGTATCATATCATCAGCAAATAATGATAGTTTAACTTCTTCCTTTCCTATCTTTATTGCTTTAATTTCTTTCTCTTGTCTAATTGCTGTGGCTAATGTTTCCAGAACTATATTGAAGAGAAGTGGCGATAGTGGGCATCCTTGTCTTGTTCCTGATTTTAA